GAGGAAGATTTGTGTTTACCAACACGGATCTCTCTCCTCTGAATCATTGGCCAAGGCCGCTGATCAACATCTAAGGGAGCCAATGACAGCACCTCCCCACCCAGAGAAGCAACATCACATATACAGTGGGGATCGAAAGTTTGGGCACCCCAGCTAAAAATTTGTATTAATGTGCATAAAGAAGCCAAGGAAAGATGGAAAAATCTCAAAAAGGCATCAAATTACAGATTAGACATTCTTATAATATGTCAACAAAAGTTAGATTTTATTTCCAAGAATGTCTAATCTGTAATTTGATGCCTTTTGGAGGTTTTTTTCCATCTTTCCTTGGCTTCTTTATGCACATTAATACAAATTTTTAGCTGGGGTGCCCAAACTTTCGATCCCCACTGTATATACTGTGTGTGTGTGTGTGTGTGTGTATGTATGTATATATATATATATATATATATATATATATATATATATATATATATATATATATATATATATATATATATATATATGTGTGTGTATATATATAATTTTGCACAGCCAGTCCGCACTGTAGCAGTAAAGCTACAGTGCGCGGTTAGCAAGCGGTTAACAAGTTAAAGTAAATTCAAAAGTAGCTTTTAACAACTTGCCCTCTAGAGGATTTACCCCACTTCTCGAGCAGGTCATTTTTTGCAATATGGCACTGCTTTACTTTAACTGACAATTGTACAGTCATGCAACGCTGTACATAAATTAAATTTATGTCCTTTTTTTCCCACAAATAGAGCTTTGTTTTGGTGGTATTTGATCCCCTCTGTTTTTTTTTGTTTTTTTGCACCATAAACAAAAAAAGACCTACAATTTTGAAAGTAAAATATTTTTGACTTTTTGCTATAAAACATATCTAATAAAAATTTTTTAAAAATCTAATTTCTTCATAAATTTAGGCCAAAATGTATTCTGCTACATGTCTTTGCAAAAAAAAAATCCCAATATGCGTAAATTATTTGGTTTACGTGAAAGTTATAGCGTCTACAAATAGCGGTATATATACTGGTGTTTAGTAATGGCAGCGATCAGCAATTTATAGCGGGACTGCGAGACTGCGATGGGTATTCTGACATTAGGTGGAAACTGACTGTAACTGACATCTCCAGTGACACTAATACAATGATAAGTGCTCATATTAAACACTGACACTGTACTAATGACGCTGGGCAGGAAGGGGTTAACTTCTGGAGTGATCAAAGGGTTAACTGTGTGCGATGTGTGTTTTACTGTTTGCTGTGTTTCACTAGGGAGGCATGCTGTTTTGTATCTCATTGCTGTGCAGAGAGATACAACACAGCATGTCCAATCTAACAGGGGAGAGACCTGTGTTGTGTACACACAGGTCTCTCCCCTGTCAGCTTTACACAAGTGCCAGCCAGGAATTGACCTGGTGATTGACATCCCTAGCCACCCACAAGCGGCTCGGGTAGGGAGGCACGCATGCGCGCCCCCTACCTGGAAATGCATATCACGTATATATACGTGATTTTGTGCAGCCCTGTAGCAGTACTTCTACTATAGGACAGCAAGAAAGTGGTTAATATTCTTTAAAATCAGCAGCTTTCATCTAATACCTTGTGAAGGTGACTTTCTTATCACCATCAGGAAATCCACCCAAAGAAATGAAGAAAGGAAGGGGCTATAAAGAGGCTACAGGAGATCAGCAGCACCAGTATACAACAAAGGATGTAAAAAATATGAAAACAATCATGAATTTTGGTTTTCGATCTACTTTAGGGAGCTCCCTCTTTCCCACTTTGATAAGTGAGAGCACACAGTTGACACAATTATTGAGCCGTTGGACTGTGCTTAGACATCTTACTGTCAGCTTCTTGTACATGGCTAGCTTTGTGTTCAGTCTTCTACATACTTTCACCCATCACCCAGCACAACTATCTCCACAGGAAGGTTACATAAACTGTGAACTTTCCAACCCTTTAACTGGCACTGTGTGATACCATCAGCCTGGACACTGGTCTTGTGCACAGGAAATTACTTCGCATATTGATAATGATGGAACTCAATCCACAGGCCTTAGAAATCTGTGTATGGCCCTCCCTGCACAGGCCATGTCTATTAGGTGTCAAAAACAAACATTTGTAAATGAAAATGTTTCAATAGGGAGGATGAAAAGAGCAACCTCTCCATTTAACAACACTGAGTAGGATAAATAGATGGGTGAGCAAGTAATAAACACACTCAGATGCAATTAACAGGAACCAAGCCTCCGTTAAATGGGAGTCATTTTCTTTCCCTAGTATTTAACTTACTAAGCCTTGTCAGTGTTTGTTTGGGGAAACATATGAAATTGGCAGCATATTGATTTTCATTTCTTTGGAATCACAAAGCAGAAAAAGTACAGTCTGGTAAAGGCCTTTCTAAGTGTGTAGTTAATTAAAGGGCTTTCCAACAGCATACATTGATTTGTTCATCTGAAACAAAGAGCATTGTTAATGTATGTCATCTCTGCCTACAGGAAATCACATTTTAACTCTTGCTGCTAAAAGTTTTATCAAGGTTAACATGCAAATATTCCTGTATCAGTGATAACATAATCATTATTAACCACTTGCCCTCCAGAGGATTTACCCCCCTTCCTGACCAGACCATTTTTTGCGATATGGCGCTGCGTTACTTTAACTGACAATTGCACAGTCATGCAATGCTGCATCCAAATTAAATTTTCTTTATTTCCCACAAATAGAGCTTTTTTTTGGTGGTATTTGATCACTTCTGAGTTTTTTATTTTTTGCGTTATGAACAAAAAAATACAATTTTGAAAAAAAAAAATATTTTTGACTTTTTGCTATAAAACATATATCCAGTAAAAAAAATTAAATTTCGTCATAAATTTAGGCCAAAATGTATTCTACTACATGTCTTTGCTAAAAAAAATCCCAATATGTGTAAATTAATTGGTTTTAAGTGAAAGTTATAGAGTCTACAAATGGCGGAATATATACTGGAATTGTTTTTTTTTTTTTAATACTAGTAATGGCAGCAATCAGCAACTTATAGCGGGACTGCGGTGCGCATTCTGAAACTGGGGGAACTGACTAACTGTCACTGACATACCCAGTGACACTAATAAAATGATCAGTGCTCATAATAAACACTGACACTGTACTAATGACACTGGGCAGGAAAGGGTTAACATATTGGCGACCAAAGGGTTAACTGTATGCTGTGTGTGTTTTACTGTGTGCTGTGCTTTACTAGGGAGGCATGCTGTTTTGTATTGCTCTGCTATGCAGAACAATACAAAGCAGCATGCTGGAGCTGACAGGGAAGAGATCTGTATTGTTTACATACAGATCCCCCCCCCACCCCCCCATAAGCAGTCGGCGATCACCGGGAGCCGGAGGGGAATATCCATCCAGGACCTGGTGATTGACAGCTGTAGCCGCCAATGGTGGCGCAGGTAGGTCGCGTGCACACCCCCTACCTGGAAATACAAAATCACACAGTATTTGTGTTACAGGGCAGCGTGGAGGTGGTTAAACTGCAACTGGGTAATTGATAAACTGTTACATGAATAGCTAGTGCATTGTCAGCCTCATTTATTATTCATAGCCTGAAACAAAAACAGATCATATTAGCTATTTAAAGCAGTATTCACTCTGCAAAAAAAAATAAACAAACAAATGTAATATATCTCAGCTGCATAAGTTTTAGTTTTATTTTATTATTTTTTTTTGTTCACCTGGTGATCTGGCTACTAAAACACTTTGAAGTTTATTTACTAAAGCTGGAGAGAGCAAAATAAGGTGCACTTCTGCATTGAAACTAATCAGTTTCCAGTTTTTGTTGCCAAAGCTTAATTGAACAAGCTGAGGTTAGAAGCTGATTGGCTACCATGCACGGCTACACCAGATTCTGAGTGCACCAATTTTAGTAAATCACCCCCTTCCTGTCTTTGAGTATCTCTTCTCCACAAGAGGAGCAGCGGAGACCCCTTTTGACAGCAGCATTGTCAATCTAGGGGGAGGTTAGTGTTAGATGCTCTAGAAGATTTAGATGGAATTGACTAACAAATTAAAGCTTAATTCCAGATAACAATTTCTAATCAGTTACATTTTTTTCCTGATGGGACAGATTTACTTAAATGAATAAAAATTGACCATTGTAAGGGAACTGAAGTTGAAAAATAAAAAAAATGCATACAGGTAGGCTCTTTATTGTAGAAAAAAACTAAAAAACACTGACCTGCCTGTTCGCAGTCCCCTGTAAAATGTGTGTCGAACTGTGCAGTTCCGTTTAAATTCTGGCATGTTACAGCGCATGCACAAGAGTGACACCATCCCACGCTAGCCAATCAAGATGGCCAAAGAATGACACCTTGGGGAAGCTGGTCAGAAGATGCCGGTGCCAGTGAGGGACCTCACTGACATCGGAGCATTGGAATTAAGGTATTTTTGCCTTTTCGTTTTCATGGTTGTCTCAACAGCCACATTTGCTGCAAAGCTACATAAATGAAAAAGTCCAAAAATTTTGAAAAAGTGTTTTTCTTATAAAATTTTGTAACTAAATAATCTTTCTTCATAAATCGTGGCCACAATTTATTCAGTTATCTTTTTAGCAAAAAAAAAAATAACCCAAATTAATTTATAATCAAAAATTAAAATTTTTTTATTTTAGTTTTATATTAGTATTTTTTTTTACATACTGTCTCCCTAGCAGTACAGTGTCACCATAGTGACACTGTACTACTGCGGGGGGTGATGAAGATTTTTTTTTTTTTTTACACTGATTGCTTTTACACCCATAAAGGCTGTAAAAACAATAATTTCTCTTTTTCTCTGGCTGCATTCTTGCAGCCATTGAGAAATACTGTGTGAGCTGTGATTGGTCACAGCTTGTCACATGGTACAAGGCTGTTGTGAATAGCCTTGTACCATGTGATCTCTGTGATCATTCACAGATTTCACACGTAGTAAGCAATGTCAGAAGTGACATCTTGCTTACTACTCCATGTGATCACTGATTGGCCAATCAGTGATCACATGATCGGGACCTCACAACGATCGGTGTTCTGGATCGCAGGTGCTGCGTGCTCCCAGGGAGCGAGCACAAGCAGGGAGCAGGGGGACATTTATAAACGGCCACCCGCCCCTGCACTGCTCCCATCCGGCTGTTTATATACATGGGCCGGACGGGAAGTGGTTAAAGTAAAACTAAAGGCAAAGGTTGTTTTTCACTTTAGCTGCATTCAAAAGGTTTTTTTTGTTACCTTAAAGCAGTAGTAAACTGCTTAACAATAAAAAATCCCCTGCAAAACTAGCACATACTAGCACATTACGAAAGACTTCCCTTAGAACAAAGCCCTCCAGTGGCGAGCTGCCACCACTGACAAGGCTTCCATCTTCACCCAGTCTTCCTCCTGGGTTCGCAGGCTATAACCGATTGGGCATGCGCTGGAGTCTCAGCCGCGGCACAGAACTCTGGAGGAATGGCACGGGTATGCTGTTCCTTTAGAGCTCATGTGCCGGTGACGTCGCTGGCTGCAGGGACACTGAATATCTCCTAAACTGTGCATATTTAGGAGATATTCCATGTACCTACAGGTAAGCCTTATTATAAGCATACCTGTAGGTACAAGTATCCAGTGGAAGTTTACTTCCACTTTAATTCAGAGAATGCATTAGAGTGTTGCTAAACCCAGTCTGCATGTGCAGTAATGCATGCTTGTTATACTCACTGTGGAACCTTAGGGGGTAATCCTCTGCATTGTGTAAAAATGCTGTCTGATCCTGACTTCTCTGATCCTCCCTTTCTGCCAGTGTCCCCCTCTTATCTCCCGATAAGATATATCGTGTGGAGACACTCTGCACATGCTCCGTTTGGTGTGTATTGCTAGAGAGGTTTTTATTTTCCTGGGAGAGTGCATGTAATCAGCACAAGGCCAATCAGCATTGTCTAGATAGAGGTCAGGGGTTCTGCATCCTCCTAGAGCAACATGAAAACACCTCCTACAAGCTTTAACCAGTGCTCAGCTGGACACTGATAGAAGTCACAAGACTGCTCTAACTGCTGATGGGAAAAAGGTATTTAGCAGTTTATGTTTCGTAAAATAATTGCATTTCCATGTAGTGTATACTGTGGGAGCCCAAATAGAGTGAATACAGGGTCCTGGGTTTAGTAACACTTTAAGGTAAAAAACCTCCTGTCTTTAGACCCACTTTCAGTGGAGGCTCCTGCATGTGCTGTTCTATGCAAATGCAGCTGGGAAGCAACCAAGAGACAACACTGAGAGTGCTAGATGGATTATATTTTACTCATTGTAATCCTGCAGGGAGATCTCCTATCTGTGGATCAGAAAAAAAAGTCTGGGCTGTCTTGCACAGTCAGATGCCTTTTGATCCCCATAATGATAAGCCTATTGAGAATGACAAGGTATATTATCATAATACCATTCTTATGACATAATGTGCAAAGATCAGCATAAAGAGTATATGTATGAATTATGTGATTATATCCATTAAACATATCTTTGCTGTTTAACATGTAATTAAACATGATCTGAAATGAAATGTCTGTTCAGTCTGCAACTAGACATTGCTCTGTGCTGTCTTCATCAAATAATGCTGCCTTAATAAAATTATGTAAAGTTAGGTTATTTGAGGTCACCAGAAAATATTCAATAAAGTATAAATATTCTGGCATGTAAACTAAATACAGTGCAGAGCAACAAGAAATGCTACGTTTCCAATCACACCTTCCATCTTTGTACTTTAAACAATTAGATTGTCAGTGCCAGTTCACATATATGCGGATTGGATTCGGTTTGAACCGCATCTAATCCGCATGACGTGAAAAAACATTGCTTCTTATGGTGCCTGCTCACATATGTCCGGTGCACTGGCCGTGCGGATTCAGTGCGGTTTGAAAAAGGCTCCTGTGCGATTTCTGAGTAGTGCTGTCCGGTTCAATTATTATTATTATACAATATTTATAAAGCGCCAATAGTTCGCTCAGCGCTGTACATTACAAAGGGGGACAGAACATGTGACAGAACAATACCAATACAATGCAAAAACACGAGGGGATCGAGGGCCCTGCTCCTTGGAGCTTACAATCTAAGAGGGAGGGGATAGTGGTACAGGAGGAGATAGCTGTGGGGGATGGAGTGGTAGGAAGAGTGGAGGAGGTTGGCAAGTTAGCAGGGGGTGGGGTAGGCTTCCCTGAAGAGATGGGTTTTCAGGGTGCGCCTAAAGGAGAGGAGAGTAGGTGATAATCTGATGGGTTGGGGCAGGGAGTTCCAGAGGATGGGTGACACCCTGGAGAAGTCCCGGAGGCGGGCATGGGAGGAGGAGACCAGGGAACTAGAGAGAAGGAGTTCTTGTGAGGAGCGGAGTGTGCGTGTTGGGCGGTACTTGGATATTAGGTCGGTGATGTAGTACGGGGCAGTATGGTGGACAGCTTTGTACGTCAGTGTTAGGATTTTGAATTTGATCCGTTGCGCAATCGGAAGCCAGTGGTGGGATTGGCAGAGGGGGGTGGCGGAGATGGAGCGGTTGGAAAGGTGAATGAGTCTGGCAGCCGTATTCAGGATTAACTGAAGCGGGGATAGCCAGCGGCGAGGCAGGCCAGTGAGGAGGGAGTTGCAGTAGTCGAGTTGTGTAATTGCAGATTACAGGCTATTGACTTCTATGGGAACCTTTTCTAAACCGCATATGTGTGAACAGGATAATCCTGAGTCCTCCGGGGAAAGAGGGTATTGCAGGTAAATGGATAAAAGATAAAAATGCACATTTGAAGGATATCACTAAAAAGGGGGAATTGCTTTCTTTTTTTAGAATTAAAAATTAGGAAGGATTTGTTTTTTAGGTTGTATGAGTGGTGGTACCACCAACTGAGGCATTTTGTAACAACTCTCCCGCAACCATTAAAGGTGATGGAGAGTGTGTACCCATTGGAAGGATTTTTTAGTCAAGAGATAACACATAAGCATGTAACGTCTTGTATTTATAAGATCTTTACTAATATAGCGGAATCTGTCTATCCACCGTATCTCGGGAAGTGGGAAAAAGAGTTTGGAACAAAATTAGAGGAGCAAGATAAAAAAGAAAATATTCAGACTGGCACATTGTGCTGTAAATTTGAACATAGTAGAAATGAACTATAAATGTCTAGTAAGATGGTACTGTACACCTTGTGTAGCACACAAACAATAACCGCAGAATTCACATTTATGTTGGAGGGGGTGTGGGTTTGAAGGAACTATGGCACATATATGGTGGGAATGCCCTAAAATCCAAGAGTTTTGGCAAGGAATAATTCAACAAGTTCAGGAGATAACAGGAACTAGAATACCAAATAACCCTTGGGCTTGTGTATTTCATAAAGGGGACCTTACAGTGAAGCAATATAAGAACACAGTAATATTTATTTAATAAACGCAGCTAAAGGTTTGATCCCAAATTTTGGCAGAGCAAAGAAATTCCCAAAATAAAAAACTGGATTAGCAGAGTGGAATATATATACAGGGTGGAGGAACTTTGCCATATTGGAGAAGCTAAAATTAAAAAATGTAGAAAAACTTGGGAGAGATGGATAAATTATAAAACGGCTAAGAATTCTGCAGAATTGAGAGGACTAAGAGGGGGAAGATTGAAGAGGAGGGGTAGGAAGTGATGGATGGGTGATAGAGGTTAATAGAAGGCTAAGGTGACCTGGAGGGGGAGGAGAGAGGGGAAGAGGGGAGAATGTGAGGGTTTTTTTGTAAGAAAAAAAAAAAAAAGAATCCTGAGAATTAATCTTGTCCTGAACCTGGTGTAACCCTAACATGAACCACTGAACAACTACTGTATCAATTAGCTGTGAAACCTGAGCTTCAGTCTGTACCGCACAATTGTGAATCAGTTCTCAGAACCCAAATATGTTATCATACCCCTTAAAATCGACAGGCCAGTATCTTTGCACAGGGAATACCATTGATTGGTTGTTACCAAGTCCTGCTCTGCAGCCACAGCTAAAGGTTGGCAAGTGACACTGGGACTGGAGCCTAGCGAGCCCAGAAATTCTATCTCACTATTCTGACTATTTTAAACTCAATCATTACGACATATGAATGTCTATCATGCATTATTGCACTTCAGCAGTGTTTTTTTTGGACCTCTCATTTAAAACTGCAAAAAAAAAAGGGCCCGTACAGGATAATGGTATAATGTGTTAGTATACATTGCACATTAACACGCTATGACAGATGTCTTTCAAAATTAAGCCCTCTAGCGACATGTTGTTACTGCTGACAGGGCTTCCATCTTTACATAGTCTTCCTTCCAGGCTTGTGGGCTCCGGCCACTTTATATGCATTGTAGAGCTGCATCGACATCAGTTCCGCACATGCAATCCATTAAGAGCGCAGTGCGCATGCATGGGGACATCAACAGCTGCTTCTAAAGTAAATATCTCCTAAACATTGCATGTTTTGGAGGTATTTCTTGTACCTACAGGTAATCCTTATTATAGGCCTACTTGTAGGTATAAATAAAAAAAGCTGATTTTACTACCACTTTAAAAGTGGAATGGAATAGGGGAGGTTGGGTTGTGAGGTTTTTATTGTTGTTTGTGTTCCCACATGGGAGATTTAGGCCCCTTTCACATGAGTGGACCGATCGGGTCCGTCTATCAGTTTCTCAAGTGCACCTGATCACATGCTCCCTTGCTCTCCATGGAGTAGTGTGTGTAAACGGGCATGTTTCCATAAATTCTGTGATCCAATACTGACCGCTAAAAACAGATGGATTGGGATCAGATCGGTTGACAGTAGACATCCGACAGCCCATAGAGGACAGCAGGCTGTGTCCGTGTTCACTCTGCATAAGCTGAATGGACACGGATCTGTCATCCACTTGCTCAGTGGGGATCAGCAGGCAGATCCCCCTGCTGGGCAAGCGGATCCCTTAATAGGTCCACCCCATGTGAAAGGGTCCTTACCGCCTTTATTTGTCTTGGTGAACATTGTCTGCTATGGATTGTGATAAGAAAATCAAAGAGTTTGAGTATTCATAGGATCAGGAGGTAAGGCAAAATGTTCCACTGAGGTAAGCTGTCCTAGTAACAACTGCATTTGGAAGGAAATGCCATAGCTTTGGAGAGAACTACTGTTGTATATCTGGGGCACAAAGTAAAGAGAAACCTTTCCAATGGGACACAGACAACAACAACAGTAAAATACAAAATCAAGACTGGCAG